CCCCCCCCCCTGGAAAGTTAATCGATTTTTTGCCCCCCCCCCCTGGAAAGTTTTCTGCGGGCGCCCATGTTCCTGCCAGCTTTGTTAAAATGACAGCACTTGAGTTGCAAGTTGTGGTTAGCAAGAAAGTTTAATGATGATGGAAAAATAAGTATTTGAAACTTCTGTCAGGTTAAAATTCGTCCACAATCCAATAAATCTAGTTAGACTTTTAACAAACTTTTAAGTAAAATGTTTAAAGTCTTGATTTGAGTGAAAAATTCATTGACATGCAACGCTGTCAAGGTCGCAATGCTGTCAAGGTCGCAGCGCTGTCCAGGTCGCAGCGCTGTCCAGGTTGCAGCGCTGTCTAGATTGATATAGAAAAAAATTAAATTTTTTCTGAAGTAAAATCAGGATCATTTGTCACATTCTTTGATAGATTTATCTCTACAACAATTTATACTTTTTGGCTAAAACTGTCATTTTATATTTCACTTGTGCTTGTAAATAAGCAAGGCATGTGGCCAGATTTCTAGCAATTCTTAAGAAAGTCTTGCTTAATTTTAGTTTACGAAAAGAACTTCCTTCACAGTCAGAAGCATTAACAGAATTCAGAAGGGTACTTACATTGTATTATATTATTTAGAATCAATTTCCTTAATCAGACTTTTTGACTGAATAGCAAACGTTGAAAGGTGTAGGCCCACTCCAAATCTTTGTTTCATCTTGATCAACTTCCACTGTAGGCCCACTCCAAATCTTTGTTTCATCTTGATCAACTTCCACTGTAGGCCCACTCCAAATCTTTGTTTCATCTTGATCAACTTCCACTGTAGGCCCACTCCAAATCTTTGTTTCATCTTGATCAACTTCCACTGTAGGCCCACTCCAAATCTTTGTTTCATCTTGATCAACTTCCACTGTAGGCCCACTCCAAATCTTTGTTTCATCTTGATCAACTTCCACGCCGCCGTTAAAACTCTCCAGTTCTTTCTTTAACTGAATATGAACTCTTTCTTGTTTATTAAAATTGATGCCATCGTTCTATAAGTTTGATAAATGTATTTCTTATTTTTTGCTGTTTTCCACAAGCGAGAATTTGCTTTCTTATATTTGCTTCAAGCTCACTGGCAGCTTCCTCTATGGCTGATCTAGTGTTAGGCTCACTGGCAGCTTCCTCTATGGCTGATCTATTGTTATGCTCACTGGCAGTTTCCTCTATGGCTGATCTATTGTTATGTTAACTGGCAGTTTCCTCTATGGCAGATCTATCGTTAGGCTCACTGACAGTTTCCTCTATGGCTGATCAATTGTTAGGCTCGCTGTTTCCTCTATGGCTGATCTGTGTATGGAACTTTGACAAAAATTATAATAAAAAACAAAAAATGTAACAATTATTTCGTTAAAAAAATTGAAGGGAGATCACTCCCACCCCCCAATGATAATTCAGAAACCATTATGACTTCACGGCAATGTATTTCACTGTTTGCTGCCCCCCCCCCCCTCTTTTTTTCACCCACAGGGACGGTATTTGTAGTTTATAGGATGACATCTACTAGTATATGGGAGGTGGGGTGGCAAGAAGAGAGGCGGTCCGCCCTGGGCAGCACTGATATGGAGGGCCGGCATTTTCGTCCAACTCTTTTTTTTCGTGACAGTAGGTGGCTAAATTGTTTGACCGCCCGGGGGGAGGGGGGGGCACTAACTCTTGTTACCTCAAGAAAATCAATTTGGCGGCGAGGTTATGGGGGTAGTATGCGTGAATACCTTTAGTTAATGACGTCATTGTCAATCAGACGAGATTTCAAGGCATCAGCGCGAGTGATCTTTTTAATCTGTTGATGGTCCGATATAATTGGGTTTTTTTCAAAGTAGGACTTACAGCGGACAAAAAATGTAGAGTTTCGAGTGCTTTGAAGCAAAAGTCACATTCAGGCTGGAACTCAACGTAGACGAGCAAATTAAGAAAAGGAGTAAGAGCCCTTACAGTATTTAAGGGGGGGGGGAGTAAATTAAGTAGATTGACAGTAGCCGGAGGTGTGAAGGCTGTCCTTGTGTAAAGTGACAGTAGCCAGAGGTGTCAGGGCTGTCTTTGTGTAAGGTGACAGTAGCCGGAGGTGTCAAGGCTGTCTTTGTGTAAGGTGACAGTAGCCGGAGGTGTCAAGGCTGTCTTTGTGTAAGGTGACAGTAGCCAGAGGTGTCAAGGCTGTCTTTGTGTAAGGTGACAGTAGCCGGAGGTGTAATGGCTGTCTTTGTGTAAGGTGACAGTAGCCGGAGGTGTGAAGGCTGTCTTTGTGTAAAGTGACAGTAGCCAGCGGTGTCAGGGCTGTCTTTGTGTAAGGTGACAGTAGCCAGAGGTGTCAGGGCTGTCTTTGTGTAAGGTGACAGTAGCCAGAGGTGTCAAGGCTGTCTTTGTGTAAGGTGACAGTAGCCAGAGGTGTGAAGGCTGTCTTTGTGTAAGGTGACAGTAGCCGGAGGTGTGAAGGCTGTCTTTGTGTAAGGTGACAGTAGCCGGAGGTGTGAAGGCTGTCTTTGTGTAAGGTGACAGTAGCCGGAGGTGTGAAGGCTGTCTTTGTGTAAGGTGACAGTAGCCAGAGGTGTCAGGGCTGTCTTTGTGTAAGGTGACAGTAGCCGGAGGTGTCAGGGCTGTCTTTGTGTAAGGTGACAGTAGCCGGAGGTGTCAAGGCTGTCTTTGTGTAAGGTGACAGTAGCCAGAGGTGTCAGGGCTGTCTTTGTGTAAGGTGACAGTAGCCAGCGGTGTCAAGGCTGTCTTTGTGTAAAGTGACAGTAGCCAGAGGTGTCAGGGCTGTCTTTGTGTAAGGTGACAGTAGCCAGATGTGTCAAGGATGTCTTTGTGTAAGGTGACAGTAGCCGGAGGTGTAATGGCTGTCTTTGTGTAAGGTGACAGTAGCCGGAGGTGTGAAGGCTGTCTTTGTGTAAAGTGACAGTAGCCAGCGGTGTCAGGGCTGTCTTTGTGTAAGGTGACAGTAGCCAGAGGTGTGAAGGCTGTCTTTGTGTAAGGTGACAGTAGCCGGAGGTGTCAGGGCTGTCTTTGTGTAAGGTGACAGTAGCCAGAGGTGTGAAGGCTGTCTTTGTGTAAGGTGACAGTAGCCAGAGGTGTGAAGGCTGTCTTTGTGTAAGGTGACAGTAGCCAGAGGTGTGAAGGCTGTCTTTGTGTAAGGTGACAGTAGCCAGAGGTGTGAAGGCTGTCTTTGTGTAAGGTGACAGTAGCCAGAGGTGTGAAGGCTGTCTTTGTGTAAGGTGACAGTAGCCAGAGGTGTGAAGGCTGTCTTTGTGTAAGGTGACAGTAGCCAGAGGTGTGAAGGCTGTCTTTGTGTAAGGTGACAGTAGCCAGAGGTGTGAAGGCTGTCTTTGTGTAAGGTGACAGTAGCCAGAGGTGTGAAGGCTGTCTTTGTGTAAGGTGACAGTAGCCAGAGGTGTGAAGGCTGTCTTTGTGTAAGGTGACAGTAGCCAGAGGTGTGAAGGCTGTCTTTGTGTAAGGTGACAGTAGCCAGAGGTGTGAAGGCTGTCTTTGTGTAAGGTGACAGTAGCCGGAGGTGTCAGGGCTGTCTTTGTGTAAGGTGACAGTAGCCAGAGGTGTCAGGGCTGTCTTTGTGTAAGGTGACAGTAGCCGGGGGTGTCAGGGCTGTCTTTGTGTAAGGTGACAGTAGCCGGGGGTGTCAGGGCTGTCTTTGTGTAAGGTGACAGTAGCCAGAGGTGTGAAGGCTGTATTTGTGTAAGGTAACAGTAGCCGGAGGTGTCAAGGCTGTCTTTGTGTAAGGAGAAATTAAGTTACCAGAAGTTAGCAAAGATCTCTGAGACCTGAAATGTGAAGTTAGCAAAGATCTCGGAGACCTGAAATGTGAAGTTAGCAAAGATCTCGTTGACCTGAAATGTGAAGTTAGCAAAGATCTCGGAGACCTGAAATGTAAATTTAAAAAAGATCTCGGAGACCTGAAATGTGAAGTTAGCAAAGATCTCGGAGACCTGAAATGTGAAGTTAGCAAAGATCTCGGAGACCTGAAATGTGAAGTTAGCAAAGATCTCGGAGACCTGAAATGTCAAGTTAACAAAGATCTCGGAGACCTGAAATGTCAAGTTAAAGATCTCGGAGACCTGAAATGTGAAGTTAACAAAGATCTCGGAGACCTGAAATGTGAAGTTAGCAAAGATCTCGGAGACCTGAAATGTCAAGTTAACAAAGATCTCGGAGACCTGAAATGTCAATTTAACCAATCGGATCGTAGTCCCGACCCGTTGATTATCCTTTCACTTACCAGAAGAGACGTGTGTCCCCCCCCCCAAAGACGTAGAACCCAACCCCCACTCCCCCTATACTGAGGACAGTGACGTCTTTGTTTATACCCGCTGCCAGATGGCGCGTATCTAGGTGAGACTGGACGCAGCCTCTCGGACAGATGCACGGAACACCTTTGTACTATTGCGTAAGTTAAGTAGTTTCCCTATCTCAAAACACTTCAATAGAAGTGACCCCAATGGCTCAGGGGATTTCACTATCACCGCCATTGTCTCTTGTACAAACGCACCTAACATGATGTACATGGAAAACAAAATTGATTCAGACTTATGGAGCCTTGATGCAATAGCATATTTTTTCACTTGTTAAGCGTTTTCTCCGCCCCATCTTGTTACGACCATTCGCAGTGGACTCACTTTTCCTCTCTTCCGCCCATTTTGCATGGATCACATTTCTCTTGCTGTCCTCTCGGATATCACATTGCAGTCAAGTCTTTATTTTTTTCTTTATATTGTTTTACTGTTGTTTATTCGCTGAAGAAGGCATCTAGCCGACACGTTCGTTGTTTTGATGCGTCCTTTTTTTTTCAGGGTTTACCCTACTTTGTTTCACTCATTTCCCTGCAATATTAGACGGTTGGAGTCCTTTTACCCGACTAACCCAAAACTGTTATATAATTTTTCTCTTCCAAATAACCCCCCCCCCTCCCACATTCACACATCAATTTAAAAAATTTAGTAATAGTATTGTTTTCTCTCCAATTTAATTTGGTTACCTGGAGAAATTCAAGAGGCATACCCAGGGGGCCGTCCATAAAGTACGTTACGCTTCAGAGGGGGGGGGGGGGGGAGGGGTAAAAAAGTGTGACAGTTTGTGACAGGGGGAGGGGGGTGTCAGGCCATGTGTGACGTCACACATTTATCATTTTTTTAAATTTTATTTCTAATTTATTTTTTTTTAATTTTTTAGTAGAATTTAATAGCTTCAAAAATAATTTTCAAAAATTTTGTGAAACATTTGAATTAGTTTGATGTCAAAATAGTATGAAGAAATGCGTATCTCCTGAATGTGTTGTTCACGATTCTTGTCGCTAGGAGCGCTAGCAACTATTCTACTATTAAAGACTTTTAAATAATGGGATAGTTCTTTTAAGTGGATATTTTATATTTTAATACAGTTTAATAGTGAAGTGTGTTTTAGATTAAATTTTAATTAGGTGTTAATTAAACAAAATTTTTTTTCCAAAGTGTGACGTACTTAAGTTCCGATACTTGTGACAGTTTGTGACAGGGGGGAGGGGGGTGTAAAAAAGGTCAAAAATAGCGTGACGTACTTTAAGAACGGCCCCCAGGGAGAGGGCATGTTACCCCTCCCCCCTGTAACTCAGATTGGGAAGCAACTGCTTTCACCCCCACCCCTGAAGTTACCGTAAAACATCTCCAAATTCTAATTTTTACAAAACTAAGTTTTGAGAAAATGTAACCTTTCAATACCCCCCCCCCTTTTTTTTTCTTCCCGATTTCCAATGGATAAGGCCGGCAACTGACATTCCAGATCTACTTACGAAATCACTGCATGCCACACGATTTGTAAACCTATTTTAAAACGAAAAAAGTTTCTGGCTAGGGGGAAACCCCGATTTTACATGGGGAGTGGGCATAACCCTGAGGAAAAAAACTCAGATTGGGAAGCAACTGCTTTCACCCCCACCCCTGAAGTTACCGTAAAACATCTCCAAATTCTAATTTTTACAAAACTAAGTTTTGAGAAAATGTAACCTTTCAATACCCCCCCCCCCTTTTTTTTTCTTCCCGATTTCCAATGGATAAGGCCGGCAACTGACATTCCAGATCTACTTACGAAATCACTGCATGCCACACGATTTGTAAACCTATTTTAAAACGAAAGAAGTCTCTGGCTAGGGGGAAACCCCGATTTTACATGGGGAGTAGGCATAACCCTGAGGAAAAACATAATTGAATGTAAGTAATTCTTAGTTAGTGTCAAGTAAATCAGGTGAGAAAACACACCATCTGCCAAATGTGTTCAGTGATTTGGCCTAATCGGGTGATACGATGAAGGTCAACTATTTCGGATTTCAACATCTATTATCTTCTCATCTTTGTATCAGATAACTGATATGAATCGTACCCAGGTCAGATGACGTGTGTCTTGTATGTTAACATTTTACAAACAAGTTGTTAACAATAGTAAGATATTATCTACAGAGGGTATGAAGAAAAAAAAGGGGGTGCTGGAAGGGCATTGGGGTGTTCATTGTACACAAGATAATAATGGTGCTATCTTTGTTTCTGTCGGAGTCAGAATTACAGTTTTCTAATGGCGTACACAAATAGAACAGTCGCAGTTCAAGGTGGGGGTGCCTCCTCCTTCCGCCAAGGTTATGATCGTTGACGTATCGACACAGCATTGTGAGGGGAATAAACGGATGTAATCGATTGTGGAGGTTCACTAGAGAACAAGCCACGACGCCAAAGTTACACTAACGCACTAAATGCGTCCGGTTAGGCCAGGCTGATTTGGAAGATAGGAAAAAAATATAAATCAAAATTCAAAATCATATTATATTAAACTCCACTGAGCTTCGCCTTCGATTAAGCCTTAAAACATATTTCAGTAGGCTCTAGATTTTTTCAAAAGGGGTTTAATTTGGGGGTTTTTTTTTATTATTTTAAAATTGTATTAGTATTATTGTTCATTTTGTTGTTGTTGTAAAAGCACGTGGTTTCAAAACAAAGTAAAATGGAAACAAGCTCTGAAATGTCTGAATTAGGTTTATGCAGATTCAACCAATTGTCACAAACCTTTCAGTGGGTTATTAAAAATATTGAAGATAATATAACGAGCTCATTAATCTCGACCCCAGCTAAGTAGATTTAATTTTTTTTCTAGAATTGCAATAAATGGCCATGGCCATGGCCATGATTTTACATAATTGTATTTATTGGTATTGAAGGTCTAAAGTCTAGTCTAAATATTTGGTTCTAACATGGCAAGGGCTTTCATTACAGTAACAATATTAATAATAGTAGATCAAACCGATTGATTTAACGGAATACTCATCTCGTGTATAATAATCATTGTTTGTATAGCCTGCGAGTTGTATTGTGACATCACCCCGAGAAACGACTGTCAAGCCAGAGCTGACTGTATGCTAACGGGGGAGGGGGTGGGAGGTTCCAACAAGAATAGTTCATCAGAAGAGCTTCTTGGAGCAAAAACGTTGAAAATATCATTATCTTGAAATCTATCAGGCACTTTTATTTTCTTTGTTAATTTTTACATTCATTAAATTTTTTATTTCAAGGTATATAACTGTGGAAATAATTTAATTTTAAGTTTCGGAGTTGTTTCCCTGGATTAAAAATCTTTAAAATAATTTTTACCTAAAATGATATTAAAATTGCCCATATTTTGGAATTAGTAACTCGGCGATGAGTTATCAAACCATATACATATTAAATTATAAAAGTGTCACCAGACTAAGCTTAATTTTCTTTTTATAAAAAAGAAACGCCCTACTCTCATACCCCGTGTGATGTATTAAGTTGTTCAAAACAAGCCGATCCGCAGTTAACCCCTTCTCGCTTGGAACGGCAGACAGAAGATTCGTACACTTAAATGTGTGCAAGATAACATTTTTTTCATAAGAGATCACCTGGCATGAACAGATGTTTACACTTTTTGTGAGAAATAAACTATTTATTGATACTCGCAGCGCTGTCTTGTTAACTACTTATTGATGTGTTAAAACAACAATTACAGTAGAACTCGGTTATGTCCACGGCCTCGCGGTTTTGCCAAAAAGCGTCGAGATAACCGATGAACGAGATAACCGAAAACCAATATGGCGTCAATTTAATTAACATATGCTTGAAATTTCTTTATGTACATGACGTGCGTTAATAAATGCAGGTAATTCATCTTAAAAAAATGGATAATTTTTTTTAAAAAATTACAGTTATTTTAGCAAATTTCAAATTTAAAAAATTGAAACCCGAATCAACTTTTGAACTTTTTGAGCTACGAATTTTTAAAGTTCGAGTTTGTTTGGTACTTTCTACTATGGACGAAGCCTACTCATTTTGTGATCTCATTCTGTTGATCGCGTCTTACGCAATGACTAAATAGTTTATATAAGGCAACGCATCCCCTTATTACTAAAATACTATTTAGAGACTACTTATTTTGAACTTTCAACTTTGGCGCTTGACTATTTAATTAAAGCTTTCCCTGACCAATGGTTTAATGGCTTTTGCACACGGCAAACTCTAATGAATGAAAATCTGACGTAGTACCACGGCACAGCCACTATGCAAGTGATCGTGAATGGCTGCCCATGACAACGTTTTGCACACGGCAAATTATGATCATTTATAAAATGGACTCTACCGGGTTTTTAAACCTCGAAGTAAAACATATTTATTTAAATTACTTCTAGGTTCATTCTAAAACACAAGTCCTGTATTTGGAGAAATAAATAATTTTGTTGATTATGAAAAAACGTGTTTATTTGTTGTTTGCTATTTCTTCTTGCGGAGTTCAACAGCCGGCGATTGGTCATGGGGATCGAGATAACCGAGGTTAACTGGCAATTTTGGCCGCCTTTTGTGCTCAAGATATTAATAATCGACATAACCGAGGAGAAAATGCTAAGACAGCGAATTTGGCGGATCCACATCAATAAAGTCGACATAACAGGGTTGGCGAGTTAACCGAGGTCGACATAAGCGTGTTCGACTGTATTTGCATTATTAGATGATAATGATGATTGATTACATACGTGTAAGCGCTTGTTTCCATGTTTTTTTGTTGGCCTTATGATTGCTATGACCTCCTCTATACAGCAGCAGCATGAGGAAATCTTTGTTGTTCACCTTGCTGCTGAGCTTCATTGTGATCAAACATGTCCACGCGTATCAAACAAAGGCGAAGGATAAAAAGGAGATTGACCCATTGGATATATTTAACTTCGATCCAAGCAACGTGCAAATGTTGAAGGGGAGTAACCATGACATAAAAGTATTCACGGTATTCTCTGTGTGTGTCTGACAATAACGATATTGCGCCATTTTATTTACGATACTTTTTGTTTTGTTGTTGTTATCACAAAATTAAATTAATTATCACCATGATCCAATTAAAACAATGAATTTTTTGAATATTTTCGAAAATATCATTAATCATGACTTAGATTTTTTTTCAGTAAGTTAGCACAGGGCATTTAAAATCTAGCATATGACATTCATATAGTTTAAATATATAGCACGAGACAAACAGTTTACACATCAAACACAGGACATGTAGTTTCCAAAACTAGAAAACGACAAGTACTTTACTATCCAAATGGAACACTTGACATAGAGTTGACTAATCTAGCATATGTTTACGACCCTGGCTACCTTAACTACAACATACGGTTAAAACCCTGACTCAAATGTTGCGCCCTTGGTTATAATATGAAATCATAGTGTTGCGCCCATATTTGAATATTTTTTTTCACTTAACACTACTGATAAGCCACTGGCTAGTGTGCTATTTCCCCTGATATTTACAAAACAAATTGTTTAGAGAGTTCATACCTTTGTAAGGAGCATCAATATTCATTTAGTAATTGTTTAACCCCCCCCCCACCCCACCCCTTTTTTTCCACCTTTTTTTTCTACCTAAGGATTCCTTTCACTCAGATCGAGGCATTCTTTGAGACCTTTATTTTTATCAAAGCTAACGTATGCTAATGCAATAACGAAATTTAACGTCATCTATTCAATTAAATTTCCATTTAATTTAATTAAATATGTCAATTATTAAGCCTGAATTAGAAATCTTAACTGCCTTTTGAGAATCAATCGCAATTCGCTTCATTGATCAACTCAGTTAATTAGTTTTCTTTATTGGATTTAATTTCGTGTCTATATAATATAAAATAAATAGGGTTAAATAAAAGTTTTATTTGTAGTCTGAACAATGATAGGTTATTGTATTCCTCCGCTAAGTTCCCCAAGACAAACGGAGCCATAGTTAACTCTAAACGATGAACCGTAGTTATACAATTTGGGAGTAGTGCTTAGGTCTACTTATCTAAATAGTATTAAAAATCTATAAGTCTAGTGAATAGCGACTCATTCTGTTGTTAAGAATTAAACAACACCTAAAAACAAAGTCTTTTATAAAAGTTAATTAAACAAGGAGACAAGTAACACACTTTATAAGAATCCCAATTAGTTGTCCACAAGACTCGCACTAAAACATACGGTGAACGATCGTTCTCTTTCTGTGCCCCAAAACAATGGAATTCTCTTCCACTACACGTTTGCAATATACCGACCATCACAGCCTTCAAAACAGCACTCAAAACACATCTCTTTAAACTCTAATATTCCGACTGATTCCACCCCCCACCCCTTTTCTGACCGATAACCGATGCTGCTGGGTACCGTTCATGGTTTGACATGTAAATAGTTCTGGAATGGGTGGAGTGAATATACATAATTTTTTTTTGGTCTTATTTAATTGATTTATGTTAATTTTTAAGTTCATGATTACATTTGTGCAATTGTATGTACAGCGTGGTGAGCCCAGCCCTATGCTGGTGTACCGCGCTATATACTGAGCCCAGCCCTATGCTGGTGTACCGCGCTATATACTGAGCCCAGCCCTATGCTGGTGTACCGCGCTATATACTGAGCCCAGCCCTATGCTGGTGTACCGCGCTATATACTGAGCCCAGCCCTATGCTGGTGTACCGCGCTATATAAAACCACTAAGATATATATATGTATAATCTCATTTTGCGCACTTATCGGGAATTGTATTGAATGAAATCAGGGTCATCATATTTCCTTCATCTTACCCTTGAAAAACTGGAACACTTAGTTTTGAGGGTTGGGAGGTGGGCTGAAAATTTGATAGAATGTGTTGTCATCGGCAACGAGTCTATGTGTCAAATTTCAGCCCGATCGGTTGACGGGAAGTGGGTCAATCAGTAGTTCGAAGGTCTTGTCAGCCAGCCACAAACAAAAACGAAGTTAGTTTAATGAATTTAATAACATACACTTGATTGTCATAATATTATAGAATAATTATCTGTAGTCGATAATGTGTGTTCAACACCCGTTAAAATGTTCATTCCTCTCCACCACCTCGACTCTGCTGCACGTCTTTAAATGTACCCCTCAGAAATTGTTTATTCATTTTTATGTAGAAGGGGAAAAAATGCCCCTCTTTGCCACACCATTTTAGGAATCTGATGAAGTAACGGGGGAAGAAGTTCCACAAAATGTGCCTACTCCGACAGAAGCATGCAGCAGTCAGCAGAGGCAGGAGTCTGGCAGCAGCAGTCAGGAGAAGCAGGAGCCTGGCAATGTCGCTAGAGAAGTATCCGCAGATAAAAATGATAGAACAGAGAACAAAGAGGGTAGAGGAAACGTAGACACGGTTGCCATCTCTCTACTGAGACAGTATGCGATGACTCTGGTCAGTAAATTCGAATCTAAGGTAAAAGTTTTATTTTTTTATTGAATTCCAAACAAACAAAAATATGATTATATTAATCTATAGGCTACCTCAGAGAATTTTTTTTTAAAAATAAATAAATTATAAAAAAAAAAAAAAAAACGATAGTTTTTAATAAGACCCCAATGAACTTAAATTGGTCCGGCTCGGGAAAGAAATGATCAAGTAAACAGAGTTTGTGATTTTATTTTTTTATTTAATTCCAAAAAAAAAAAAATAATATTATATTAATCTATAGGCTACCTAAGAAAATTTTTTTTTAAAAAAAAATAAATTAAAAAAAAAAAAAAAAAACGATAGTTTTTAATAAGACCCCAATGAACTTAAATTGGTCCGGCTCGGGAAAGAAATGATCAAGTAAACAGAGTTTGTGTAATAAAACTACAGTCTCCAAAATGAACATTTTCTTTTTTAATCTTAATAGATGATTAGATAGCTGCAAATGTTCTTTTGAAAGAAGATATTTTTCTGCTGGGTTATTTTTGTTGATCGCTTTGGGGCTAGATTTACAATTAGTTCGGCAAAACGTATTTAATAAAAAAAAAATCATTTAAACAAGCCATTTTTTAATGAAATCCAAATTTTGGGTTGTGAGGGTAAATATAAGTGTAAATATAAGTTTAAAGATAAGTGTAAATATAAGTGTAAATATCTTAAATGTTGTTTATGATTTATTTAAAAATAGAAGAAAAAAAAAATTTTCTTTGAACTAACCAGGGGCGTGCCTAGGATAAGCGGCGCCCATGGCGAATCCTGAAAAAAAAGACAAATTTGGCGCCCCTTGTATTTGTGAAACACACACACAGCATTTAATCATTATAATGGGTTCTAACTAAAGGCGCACTCCTGGTGTTGGCGCCCGTCCCACCTCCTCGCATTACCCTGGAACAAACGGTCAAGACCATGGGGTCAAGCATGTAAAAAAGACCATGGGATCAAGCATGTGAAAAAGACCATGGGATCAAGCATGTGAAAAAGACCATGGGATCAAGCATGTGAAAATGACCATGGGGTCAAGCTTGTGACAAAGATCAGGGGACATTTGAGTTGTTTTAACGGTTTATTCTCGGCATCCCAGCTGCGGTGTGACTACGGTTAGCAGCACCCAGGGCAGGCCAAGATGGGCATCACCTTCACCACGAAAAAGGGGCTCTTTTTGGTCGAGCAAGTTTTAATTTTTAGCAGTTGCATATTGTTCATGCTTGTGTACATCGTCTTTCTTTCTTACGCCATGAACCGTCCTGCATCTCTCACATGCCGACCTCTGATGTCGAACCCCTCACACGTGAAGTTCGTGGTTCGTTGTGTCAGCATTGTCGACTCCTTTTTAAAAGGTGACATCTGGAATTAAGATTAAAGTTTTCCAGAGTTGCGGTGTCAGACGTATTTTTTGAAGAAATATAATTGTCGCGTCTTCAGTCCTGAAAAATACAGATTTTTAATTTGGAGTGGAGCGAAAATACCGCCCTTAATTAATAATGTGCCACCTGGAACAGGCACCACCCACCAACTCACGTTTCCACTCTAGTACTAGTGATACATTTACCCTACTTTAGTCGCAAAAATGCCCCAACAAAAGGCTTTTTACATGAATTTCATAATATTTATTTCCATTAATTCGATTAAGCACGAGGTTTGGCACGTCGTCCCATTAAAAAATAAAAGCCTGGATCTTTTCCTCCTAACCTCAATACACCCATTGATGATACGTTTTTAAATTTAAAAAAATATTTTCCCAGATTAAAGCCAACAAATCAAGGGACATCAGTCTAAGATTTCAAATCAGTCAGCGTGACATTGATAAACTGCACGCTTTTGGACAGGAGAAAACTGCAGATATTCGTGATGTACACGAAATTCTACGCAACATAATACACTCTGCCAGTGATGTGTCCCCTCAAGAAACTAGGGGCGTAGATTGGATGGAATTTGTGATGGGTTTGTCGTGGTCAAATCTGTTTCAGGTAATTTATTTATCTTCTTCTTTTCTTTAAAATTATGTTTCTTTCTCTGTTTTAACCCCGTACCTAAAATAGTGCCGAAAAGTCTAATTTCTCTCTCTCTTTTAAAAATGCTTCTTCTATCTCTATTTTAACTCCGTAACTGAAATAGTGCCGAAAAGTCTACACATTTTTTTTTGTATTAAAAAATGGATTGTAAATAAAAAGAATTATTTCTTTCCAGAATTTCACAATCATGCTGTGCGGGATAACATTTTTGACAGTACTTTGGCAGATATTAAAAATTCAAAGTCCGCTATGCAAGACGTTTTCCCTGTGCTACGTCATCAGTGTAGCGTTTGTCTGGTTTGGGATGTACCAAGTAGGTTTTAAGATAGTGTAGTTCATCTTAACCATTTCAATCAATTATAATTACTCTTTAAACATTTTAATTAAATTGTAACTGAATAAAACTGAATAACATTTAATTATGCATTGTTATGAAACAGTTTGCGCATTTTCGTGGGATGAATATGGTTCTATTATCTTTCCCTCACACAAAAATTACCCTCATGGAAGACTCCAGACAAAGAAAATTCCCCACACGGAAAATTCCCCACATAGATAATTCCTTACATGAATATTCTTCACATTTTTGTGAGTTTGCTGCATGTGGGATGTAAAAACCAAAGAAAAGAAAAGATTATTGGTGGACCAAGCTTCAGTGAAATAAACATAAATATTTTTTTAAAGAATGCACATTCGCAGTCTACGGGGTTTGCACACTGTTTTGTGTCAGTGTTTTGAGTCAGTCTATTACTTTAATCTGAGCTTGCGGGGGGGTCGTACCTGAACACTCCAAAAGGTTATTAGTTAGAGGCAATAATTGGGACTTATTGGGATTTTAATATAAAAATAAAGTAAATAAATGTATGGCATATTGATGAGGGTAATCATCTGTGTGTGTGTGTGGTATTTTCCATGTGGTGAGTTAACTGTGTGCCCAATCTTGTGGTGGGGTATTTTCCATGTGGTGAATAATCCAGTTGCCAAATTGAATCATTACTTTTGTTCATTCAGGAAAAAGTAGCTGATCAAGAAAGAATATTCATGGAAACTATGAACAAATCTTGGGAAAAACCAGAAGAGCAGTCATTTTTGAGTCTGGCATTTTCATTTGTTTCATCCCCGTTTACTTTCAAGAGGGACAAGTCCCAGGAATATTACCAGATCATGTTCGTGAATCCTGTAGTTAAAGTCAGTCCACTTGAGGTAAAGGATTAACTAAGAGCGTGTTCTTTAACCAGACTAATCTAGTTTAACTGTGTTGCTGTCAATTTCATTGAACCATTTTTTATGTGAATCAGAGCGTCTGTAAGGGGTCATCTTATATTGAAGGGGGGAACCATCTTATATTGAAGGGGACAATTCTATATTGACGGGGCCATCATATATTGAATGTGGCCATCTTATATTGAAGGGGAGAACCATCTTATATTGAAGGGGCCATCCTATATTGAAAGGGACCATCCTATAGTTAAGGGGAGGGATCATCCTATATTGAAGGGGAGGAACCATCCTATATTGATGGGGCCATCCTATATTGAATGTATATATATGGCATCCTTCCGTCTTCGTGAGACGATGGAGTAGCTATATAGTTCTACACTTTGACGAGTGGCTCACTAGGCCAATCCTAGAATGGCAATCACGGCCGCATCTCTCGCAGGAGAATGTGGCCATCTTATATTAAAGGGGAGAACCATCTTATATTGAAGGGGCCATCCTATATTGAAAGGGACCATCCTATAGTTAAGGGGCAATCCTTTATTGAACGGAACCATCCTATAGTTAAGGGGACCAAAATTGTGAAAGCTTAGATCAACCCCTGCGCATTACCATCCCACTTAAACATGCTACATTTAACAGGGACCCTAACTGCCTGCATTGCGCACTAGTCCTATAAACAGTGGAACACTTGCTATCTTTGTGTCCCAAGCTTGACCTTGTGGGGGGGGGGGGCTTGGACAGCAAATGAGCTCTACATGATATGACTAAGTCGAATCATATGGAGCTTACTGCCTGAGTTTAGCCGGGGCCATAAAGAGCAATAAGATTTAAGCTCCGTACCTCCCAAAGTATAAGTATGGATTAGTACACATGAGCGTCTATCCTCCCCCCCCCCCCAATATGGAGCTTACTGCCTGAGTTTAGCCGGGGCCATAAAGAGCAATAAGATTTAAGCTCCGTACCTCCCAAAGTATAAGTATGGATTAGTACACATGAGCGTCTATCCTCCCCCCCCCCCAAGTGGTGGAAGCCATGTGCATCTTCCGGACCTTGATCAATACTGTTCGCCATGGTATGGGTGTTTCATTCGAGAGCTCATTATGAATATTTTCTATAAACTTATTATTACATTTATTTAAGGGTTAAAAAAATGTGAGAGCATTGTTGTTAACTGCTCAGTAAAAAAATTACCTGATAAAAACTAATTATTTTTCGCGAATAGCTCAATAATTCTTCACATGTTTCAGCAAATCATCTTTTTTTCCTCCTGTTGTCGGAATATTTCATGGTACCAATGTTATCCGCCTTTCGAGACTACATCTCCGGGTTTGATTTCAGAGTTTCCTTCTCTTAGATGGGTTGCCATCCAAGGTTAACGAGTCCCATCCACCCGGAGTGCTGGTGATGTGTTTGCTTGACTGCGGGCTCTGGCTGGAATTGAACTCCAGACCACCAACTTGAGATTTGCTCAGTTTAGACCACCCAGCACCCTGCTTAATACTGACTTACAATTCAATTGACTGCAGTGCTACTCGATGGCCCTGTTGTCAACAGTGTATAAGTTCATCACTTGTGGGTCAGGGTTCAATCACCAGCATTGCATGTAACAACAAACACAAACACCCGGATGTTGACTACTTTTTTTATGCTTTGTGCTTTCATCATATTTCTTTTCAAAAAAAATAATTTTAAAAATATTGAGTATTTGTAGTTCTCCTTTCAAATATGAATTAAATTAGAGAAATTCAAAAGCTGGCCCAAAAAAAAGGGGGGGGGGGCGGCCCCCCCCACCCCTTAACTCAGATTGGAAGCAGCTGCTACGTTCCACTCCACCCCCTTACCATGTTGATTCCCCTGAACTGTATTAGCACCAACTAAATGTTTTTACATTTTCATTTAGATGATCAAATTAAACTTAAGTAAAAATATAACCCAAACATGTTCTTAACTGAAAACCATTTCAATCTAAAGTAGGCCTACCGTCAAAGATCGTCTTTGTAAAAATTGACCAACCACTGTGTAAAAATAAGAAAATCCTCAATAACCGGGTGCAGCTTGTACTTGTACACTGTCCGGGTATTTTGGGTCTCCATGTGTTACAAGAAAAGAGTTCACTTCTCATTTTCTATAATATATGCCGGCCTGTAAACAATAGTCTTACTCACTACCTGCCGGCTTTTAAACAATAGTCCTACACACTACCTGTCGGCCTTAACAATAGTCCTACACACTACCTGTCGGCCTTTTAACAATAGTCCTACACACTACCTGCCGGTCTTTTAACAATAGTCCTACACACTACCTGTCGGCCTTTTAACAATAGTCCTACACACTACCTGCCGGCCTTTAAACGATAGTCCCACAGAAGTCTTACATCATACCCATCGCTCTTTATTGATTAATATAACAAACGCTTTGCCCTAAAGAAAAAAAACACATCTATTGACCTTGAGTTCAACCGTCACTGATGACGCTTGCTACGTGACCGGTTTTTTTCCCTTCACCCGGTACCATAGAAAATTGGGGGGGGGGGGGGGGGGGAGGGGGCTGTGAAGAAGAAGCAGGACACTCCAGAAGAAAAATATATGAAAGAGAGTAATATTTAATTTACTTGTTTAAACCATTACGGGTAAATGTTTTGTGTGCGCGCACATCAGTTTCACTGAGCAAACAAATTATTCTTGAGTTAAGACATTGTTTGTGCCTTGTTAGCTTTTTAACAAGATCACGTCACAATACATTTGAGGACATGAACTGCTAAGTGAATAATTGATTACTTTCACCGGCTAACCAAAGTTATGTCCCCTTTTAAATCCTTTAAATTAACTTCACTTTTGTTCGTGTGTTTCTTTGTGGCAAAATCTTTGGAAGGCTAATTGACCCACTTCCCGTCATCCTATCGAGCTGAAACATGGCACATAGACTAGTTGCCAATGGATTCTATCAAATTTTCAGCCCCACCCCCAACAATCAGCTAGTTCCTGTCTTTCTAAGGGAAGATGAAGCAAATGTGATGCAATGATTTCTTAAGAACGTTAGCCATCGTTAAGTCGCACAATGATACAGAAAACATTAGTACAATTACAAAAAAAAATGCGAATAAAAAATTGTATAAAATATGGATTTATTCTAAAAAAGTTTTCAGTTGTTTTCTTTTAAAATCTCAGTCTTACTTTATTTTCCACCAAGGCATTGGCTGTTGCTCTCGTGAAGCCCCTGATGGCACCCATTGGAATTATTGGCAAGGCAATCTCTACATTCTTGACAGAAGTGCTCAAGGATCTTCCTGTTCAACATCAGCTTGTTGCTCTGATTGGAATTCTTCTTGTTTTCATTATCCTCGTCGTCATTTTCTGCATCTACAGAGGCTACCAGATTAATATTTTTCATTTGGTTATTATAGGACCAGGACAACAACCTGCTCGAATTCAGGTATTATCATTCAACCTAATTTTATATGACATTAATGTGAAGGTAGTGTTTTAATTTTATATAAAATTAATGTGAAGATAGTGTTTTAAGTATAAAATCTAAAAAGCATTAAATAAAATTAACACCATCACAAGCAAAAGATCTGTTACAATCTTCTGGTCAGATGAACACCATCACAAGCAAAAGATCTGTTACAATCTTCTGGTCAGATGAACACCATCACAAGCAAAAGATCTGTTACAATCTTCTGGTCAGATGAACTAACAATTAAATTACATCAGAATGCAGGAGATGATTTTCATATTTTCTGATGTTAGGTTGCAAGCCCAGTGCTTTACTCTTTAATAATAATAATAATAAAGTTTATTTCAAAAACACGCTTCATCCCCAAAAGCTCGAAGCGCGGTACAGCATCAAAAAAAAAAATTTATAATTTACCACATTTAAAACAAACGCAATTCTACAAAAACTAATTACAAGCAAACCAAGTCAAAGTCTTTCTACCCATTTCAACCCTAAGCAACACAGCCAATATGCATTAACTGGAAAATATGGTAGACAATCATCCCTGAAGGTGTTTGCGAAATAGATGTGTCCTTAAATGGGTTTTAAAGGACTCCAGACTTTAGCCTTTATGAATCATAAAATTAAAATAAGATGCCATACTATATTTAATTATTTTTTAGCACATTGCAGTCCCAGCAGCCATTGCTCATCCACAAGATAATGCCCTAGAGCAGCCGATCCCACCCAGGCCAGATCCAGATGATTAAGTAGAGCCGGAATAAATAGTTCTGAAGATGTTGGTGTGAAATAAAAGACAAGAATGGGTTCTGGTCATGATTGACAACAACAAGCGTCTCAAACACTTGCGCCTTACTGTGTAGAGCTTCCTCACTGACGCAGCAGCCATCAGATAATCCTTGTCAATCAAGAATTACATAAAGCCGTTAACAAGGATTTTAACAATGACTGCCATTGCCTGGCTAATATAAAATGCAAAGAATTTGAAGAAATTATTTGACGAGTTATCCTGCCATGCCTGCATGCAGCTTTATCTGTGCGCTGCTGGTCCTGAATCCTGCTGGATCTGCATTCTGCTGTCCTGCATCCCAATCAAGCAGACTTAACGCTATCCTTTTGTGCCTGCATGCTGCTGTATCAGGGGGCTGCTGGTCTTTGAATCCTACTGACTGTATGAGTTATCCTAATATTACTGTTTCTTGCTGGGCTGTACATCGATTTGACAGTGTACCGCTGTCCATTCACTGATACTCGTGCTCTATAGATCGTGATGGACAAGATAAAGACTTAAGTTACTTATTTTATTTGTGTTTTCTTTATAGTTAGGTAAGATTATTTTGTTTATATATATATATAATTTTTATGACAGTAACTTGAGATTTAAAAGCAAGAATAAAACTAATTTGTATATTAATGTATTTGTTGTAAATAAAGAATGAAGATAAGTTAATAGATGAGCTAGTAAATGAATGATTAATGAAAAGTCATCACGTTGTTACTTTTTATACTTTACATGATTAAAATAATTTCTGGCTTGTGCTGTGCACTGCATTTTAGTGATAAGATACAAGTGAAAGTTAAATGTAAACTATCATTTAATAAGTTGGCGATTCATTGAATCACCTTATCACCAGAATGGGAAAGGAAGGAAGAGAACTTACTTGAATCTAGCATCCATTGATTATACTTTAATCTAGTGGTTCCCAAAGTGTGTGCTGAGGCTTCCTCATAGGGTCATCACTAAATATTCCAAATGTTCTTAAATTATATTCCATCTAGCCGATTCCGATGCAATCCAGTAATGACTCTTTGCAGGCTCATCCATTCCAATTAGAATAATTAAAGAAATTTGGGGTTTTTTTCAATTAAAAAAAAAAAAAAATCTCAACAGCACGTAAGAACTCTATAATTGACACTCAAATTATTAGCTATTTCTCAGTGCATTTGTACGAATTTGACCTTGGGAACCTTGGCAAAATATGGATGCATCTAGGGAGCTCAGAATTAAACCATGGCTTTAATCTATAGCTTTCCAGAGTGATAAAATCAGCCTATGTAAAATAAAAATAAATAAATAACCAAAAATAAATTCCAAATCACTATGAAACAAATAACAGAAATTTGCTATGATATGGCATGAATTTAAAATATATTACCCATGAAGAAATATTTTGTTTACACAGCGTATTATCATTATACTTTTTTTACCATGCAGTTACAATGTAATTAAGACCATCAAACAGTGTGAATACTTAATGGGTATCATTCCAAATTAAAATCTTAAAAGATATACAAAATTGTGTCAATTTGGTTTAACCACCACTCATGGTGTCAGTGGATGTGATCCATCTGATGGTGTCACCCAATGTGATCCCAAAAGTTGGCCAAAAAATCCTTCTTTATCATCATTGAGTTTTTAGCTTGCCGTTCAAATGACACAATTTTAATGATCAGGTTAGACTTTTGCAGCTTCACTCTGTCACATTTTTTCCAATATAACAAATGAGTTGTCTGAGTCAATTATGCACACCTGAATTACAATTAAAATTTCTGTACAAGTAGGCCTATGTATTCGAGCACCCCAAGAGGGTGTAATAATGTTAAAAATCGTATTTAGAGGGCTGTGAACAGGTTTTCTATACTTAAACTATGTAATATTCGATTTATAAAAAAAAAAAGAATCCTACTTGGCGTCAATACACTTATCGCAGTAGTCTGAACTGATTGATTTGGATAAATGAGGAACGAATATACACAAATTTCATTGAACTATCTAGCAAAACAAACATATCTAGCCAAACAAACATATCTATTTAAACAAACACATCTAGCCAAACAAACATATCTATTCAAACAAACATATGTAGCCAAACAAACATATCTATTCAAACAAACATATGTAGCCAAACAAACATATCTATTCAAACAAACATATGTAGCCAAACAAACACATCTAGCCAAACAAACACATCTAGCCAAACAAACATATCTATTCAAACAAACATATGTAGCCAAACAAACATATCTATTCAAACAAACATATGTAGCCAAACAAACATATCTATTCAAACAAACATATGTAGCCAAACAAACATATCTATTCAAACAAACATATGTAGCCAAACAAACATATGTAGCCAAACAAACATATCTATTCAAACAAACATATGTAGCCAAACAAACACATCTAGCCAAACAAACACATCTAGCCAAACAAACATATCTATTCAAACAAACATATGTAGCCAAACAAACATATCTATTCAAACAAACATATGTAGCCAAAACAAACATATGTAGCCAAACAAACACATCTAGCCAAACAAACACATCTAGCCAAACAAACATATCTATTCAAACAAACATATGTAGCCAAACAAACATATCTATTCAAACAAACATATGTAGCCAACAAACATATCTATTCAAACAAACATATGTAGCCAAACAAACACATCTAGCCAAACAAACACATCTAGCCAATCAACACATCTAGCCAAACAACACATCTAGCCAAACAAACATATCTAGTCAAATAAACATATCTAGTCAAACAAACACATCTCGCCAAACAAACATATCTATTCAAACAAACATATAGTCCAAACAAACATATCTAGTCAAACATATGTAGCCAAACAAACATATATAGCCAAACAAACACATCTAGCCAAACAAGCAAAACAACAGGGTAATTGAGTAACTAATTTTACTTTTATTAAGAAAATAAAGTTGGGATATTATGAGATCTAAATAAATAATCCATGCCTCTCTAAACTAAAGCATTCATAGAAAAATAACTGAAATATCACTTGACTAAAAAATGTATCTTATATCTGGTGGAGTGGGCATCTTTTATATCAGTTGTGTATGGTCGTCATGCAATCAATGCACATACAATTCTCTGTAAGAACATCAAAATTTTCATTTGACCTGACACTGGGAAATGTCAAGGTTATCATGAAAGGGGTCAAAGAAAATATTTTTTTCTCTCCATAAATAGTGAAAGCTCTGATTAATGAAAATATTTCAAGCAAAGAAAAAAAAAACGATATGGCAAAAATTTGTTTTAAAATGGGAGAAAATGTTGGTCACAAATTTGTCTTTACAGAAAATAAGTCTTTGTTCACAGTGGAATTCTGGAATGGCAAACTTACAGTCATTTAAGTAGAAAACCTAAAAGCTGTTAAATAAAAATGACAACAAATTTGATTTTTTTATTCTTTTGATCATAATAAAGTTAACAAAGTCAGTATTTAGTATTTTGTATCAAATAATACAACCATTCTTAAATCTTTTCCTGAAAGATTAACAATAATAATAATAGCAAATTGCTTTCAGAGAATGGCATCACATTAAATAATTTTGAATGGCATCGCGTTGAATAATTTTATATTCCGAATTAATGATTGTAAACAAGTAAAATATGCTGAATGGATATATATGGAGAAAATTGGTCTGCTCAAATCATGTAGAGTTTCAAACAAAAGAACACTAAATCTGACTAGTTTTAACACAAACACATCTGTTCTAAGGGCACTTAAGGCGGTTCCCATCTTGCATTGTCTTCTCAGTCAAGTTATTGCCCTTAGTTTTTGGGGATTTGTCCTTAGTTCCTGGGATTGTTATTACATTATATTTTAAACTAAACATTAAATTAATCCATGGCACATCCTTAACTTTATTCCTATCAAATGCATTCGGCCACATAATGCTTCTCTTTATTTAAGTTTAAGCAATCAATGTTCAGTTGTTCCTGTGCTATAATTCCTGGCTTCTGGCATTGGCTTACAGTTTGCTGACAATAGTAAATTGATAAGTATTTCACAAATGGTCTTTTCTTAATTTTTACAATAAAATGTCCTAGTATTACAAAAATGATTCGAAATGAAATATGGGTGTGAAAAGTTAAATAACCATATTTCAATATAAATAAAAGAACCAAGGTTCATAATAGTGAAATAATGACACTGACAGTGCTGCTGATGGACTTAATTCATTTGACTGAATGGAAAAGTTTTGTGCCCACAACGCTAACTTTGCTAGAGTAGACATACCAACACTTGACACACACAAGAATGAGTAAATACTACGACACTGCGTTTATGTCCTCTGAGTAAGTATGCACTGCATCAACAAACACTCCCAGATGATCAGGATCGACATCTTTAAGTACTCCGTGACCTAGATTGGCAATGTAATGCTGCGTCCCAAATTTGTTCAGCATATCTTTCACTGCTTTTTTAATTTCATCCTG